ATAAATAAATGAATGAAAAAAAGAAAGCTTAACAGTTTCCACTTATAGTCAAATGGTACATGAACTGATTACTGAGGTGGAGTAAATCCATAGGAGGCTAGAAATGCAATATCCCCGGTGCGAAATTGAATAAATCAGGATAGTCATCCTAAAAAATAAACTCAAATGCTTCATTAAAATCAATTGACACTGAATATCATTGATGTGCAAAATTTCAGGAACACTTCTGATAATAATACTTTTCTCTTGGATTAACATGTGGTATAGCGAAATCATTCAAACTGCTTTAAAATGGTGCATCACTACTAAAGACTTTAACACGAACGATAACATCAACAAAAGCATACTAGTTCATCATAAATTGTTGTCAATTTCTTTTCCTTTTTCTTTTTCTTAATGTATACGTACCAATCGATTCCATCCTATTGAGCTTCAAGCCGAGCACTAGCCCACTTTGGGCATGATTGTTTTGGACGCTGTAGTTGATGTGAGACATCGGATGCACTCCTTTCATTTGCAAAATATCCAAGTACATAAAATAAACACAACTTCAAATAGCCAAGGTGTTATTGATCCCTCTCGTTATTTTTATTTTTATTATAATAATGACAGTAATAATCCAATTGAATACAGCATTTATATTATTATCAAATTACTAACAAAACTTTTTTGCAATAAACCTCTATGATTTCAATGGTGCTATTATAACTTGCACCTTCTTTGATATGCCAATTGATCAATTTGGTAAAACTTCACTAATTAAAGCTTTCCTTAACTCATGTAAGCGCACAGGTTATTATTTTTGTTTTTAACGAGGGTCAACTTGTTAGATAATTCAATGAGTCAGAAAGCATGCATTTTCTGAACTCTGCAGAAAATATGAAGAAAAACCCGGTATTGTTCTAATAATGAAGCACATAATCAAGCAGGAAAAATGAGCAAGCATTAAATCAAAACTCTTGAAAACCACTTTTGAATCTCTTGTCACGGTATATTCTAAGACAGGAAGAATACCACGCCACTGCAAACCGAACTACGTAATTAAACAATATGTGAAAATGCTTACTAAGAAGCGACTTTTTTAGGCAATATCGTGATTATCTTCTACAAACCACTACAGAATATATCTTAGTTCTCCACTGACACAAACTCACTGTTTTTAACCAATCTCTTTTAAATGCGCAACCTTTAAAGTACATCACATCAGCTCTCTCCCTCAGTTTAGCTTTAAATGCATAATTACTCCTAGATTACTGAATTCTTGAGACGTATTTAGAACATTCCGCAAGCCTACAACACTAAACTTCTGATAGAATTGCATCATAGCTACATAACCTCGAAGTCACTGTGAAAAGGCATTCTAGAACTCATATTTGATGATGACTTCCCTTAACAATTGTTGCTATTACATCCTCTTATCTTAAGCCAATGAACACAATTCAATTACTTAATTCTGCCTTTAATGTGCTTCTCATCTCCAGCTGTCTTAATCTGCCCTCAAAAGACTCCTCGTAACAGATGTCTTAAAGGATCCCAACCAGCCGCATGGGTTTTTGTTTAGGTAAGGGAGGCTGAAACTTCTTGTGACTGTAGACACGATCCATAAGATGAAGTCACTGATTATGTGAAGTGGCCATGGAGACCACATAAGTCATGGATAAGAAATACTAACTCATAAACCATTAAAACATCAATTAAATTGTCTAAATCTGAAAACTTGTAGCTTATCGTTAGAAAAAAAAATCGTTTTTTTGGGGATTTTTTTAAAGACAACCAAAGATCGAGTGAAATTTGGTTTAACTAAGCAACACACACTGATTGGTTCACTATAACTAAGTCCTCCTTTACATCTAAATAGACACAAAGTTGACAAAACAGTTTTTTTCTATCTTAAGTATCTCATACGCCTAATAAAAAACAAATGACGAGATTACCGATTTCTAATTGCCATTTCTTCTTGTTAAATTGCTTAGAATTTATAATAATTTCCTCGAATTTAACTGCCTACAGTTTTGTGTCCTCTTCAAAAGTGTATTCTTCATCGACAGCTTCGGTAGCCGAAGGTGACTTTTGACGCATTGATCTTGATTTTTCCCTTTTTCTGTTAAAAAAACAAAACAAAACAATAGCAAAACAAGGAAAAGAAAAGAAATGTTCAATCGCTATTATCTTGCAAAATAATTATTTATATAAAAAACCCCGTTCTGTCATTTAATCAGTCAATCCATCAGTCAATAAAATAAACTATCAATCAATGTTTCGGTTGGCTGTTAAGTTGGGCACATAGTTAACCAGTCAGTGAAACAGTTAATCAGTTGTTCTGACGATTGCTCAGCATTCGTTTGCTCAGTCAGTCAAGTAGTCAGTTAGTTGGTTTATCAGTTGCTCACTCATTTTTGTCAGTAATTTGGTCAGTCCGTCAGCTAGTTAATCAGTGAGTAAGGAAGTTAGTGAGTCAGTTAGTCAGTGAGGTAAGTCCGCTAACGACAGTCACTCTTCCAACCGTTTAAGCAATAGGTTAAGGAGCTAGCTAGTTTGCAAATAAGCCAGTAATTCAAATAATTCAGCAGTTAGTTTATCAGTGACAACGTCCGTCAACTTTGTAATGCGGACAGTTTGTATCTCTCGAGGAATTTGAACCTTTGTATATCCCGCTGCTCACCACTTACTTCTTTTCGGTGGAATGCCTGAATTTACCGTTCCCTTTTTTCAAACTCTTGTTCCGTTTTCCTAACATTAAAAAAACAAGGTAAAAAAATTACATATTTGATAAGGTACTTAATGCGCTGTGGCAACTGCTTAACTTGATGAAACTAGTTAACGACACTCTAAATGTAAGAAAGACACAAATAAACAGATAACTGTAGGGTAATCCGCGAGGTAATGCTGGAGAAATAAACCGAACTGGCTTCTATCGTTTTGTTTTGTCGGTTTGTTTGTTGTTGCTGTTTTATTTTACTGAGGTATTCCAAATAAATTCCCAACAAAATTTGTTTATTCGATGAAACGGCAAATAAAGGAAAAATGAATAAAAATAAGAAAGAAAAAATTACAATTTTTTTGCAAAATGTCGGCGAAACAAAGAGGATAGAATAATAAAGTGGAAGTAGTTATTACATGAAAAACTGTTTTTTTGCCAAAGAAATTTGCATCGGGTATATTTAATGGCCTTCTCTTTTCTATCGAGACTCATCAAAATTCGCAACAGAACATTGCACTTTTTGCGAAACAAACACAAAGCCAATTTAAAAACGGATAAAAGACCCAAAATACCCTGCTTTCGTGGTCGTGACTTTGCAATTACCGGTTATTAAACACTTGTAATATTACACATAATAGATTGATGTCAAACTTTGGGATTTCTTTAGTGTTTGATCTTTTTTATCTTTTGCTTGGCAATTTCTTGAAAGAATTGCATAAGAATGTTAAAGCTCCCAAATGAGAATTACGTGAATCTATACTCAACTTGATGTTTTCATACTTATTGCCGTTCATTTTGGCCGCCACCTGTTATGCAAAATATTTATTTACTGCGCCCAAATTTCGCTCATTTGCATTCAAAAATTTCATCTCTTAGTCCTGTTTGAGGATGACTGATATTCTTTGATTTGACCACCAGTTATAGTGGTAAGAAAGCCAACTGTGAAATTAAAAATTTACTTCATTTAGAGCTTGGCAATGCCTGAGGGAGGTAATGAGACTCTGAACTGATCGATACGCAGGAGAGCTTAATAGACCTTAGGAGGTTTGTCCATCTCTACCACAGTAACACTGAATGAGTTGTCAAACAAACAAAGAATAGCGACCAATTTTCTAAAAAAAAAAAGGTTGGCTATACATTTTTGATGAAGAAGGTAAGGCAAGTTACCTTGATTTAGATCAGTATTCTCAATAGGTGCCAGTTCGATTTTTTCGGCTTCATCAAGTACTCCTTGAAACAAAAAGGTAAACACTGTCATTCTCCCTATTTTAAACTAATGAAAAATATTGTACCTTATTTTCCATTATCTCATTATTAGTGATTGTTTCAGAATCAAGTCAGACTATTTTGTTTTTCTTTATTTCAAATAATGACAATAACTGGAGACAAAATAACAAAGAAACTTTTAAACCTAACGATGAACGATGAGGGTTGGATAACCATAATGATGTAAATGAACTGTGTTGATTTGTATGTACGAAAATATCCATCTGACCCAGATCCCTCCAGAAGTAGAAAAAAAACTACCACTAATACAACATATTGTGGAGTCTTGGCAATACAAGCTAACAGAACAGCAACGAAAACTTCGGTACGGAGCTTTTATCTACGTAAAGATGACATTAGAGAAGAAACTTTAGCCTACCCTGTTGTGGATGACGCACATCAACATGAGCCAGTTCGATAACTACACCCTCGACTTCCCCTTGAAAAAAATAGTTAATAAAAAATATAGTCAGAGATTGCACTGTGTTGTCATTCACAGTTTTCATGTCCGTACTGTGTTCACTAGAAGGAAAAAATGTCTTACCTCCCAAGCCGCCATGTTGTTCAATGTCTTCCATGCCCTGTGGGTTCCGTTGTTCTCCATCTCCTTGGCCTTTTTAAAGAAAGCAAAGAAAAAAATTGTGAACGAGCCAAGAAACAAATAAGTGATAGAACGAAGGATTTTTTGTGACGAACGCAGAACGAGATCTACAATTTCAAACTACTAAAACGTAATAGACAAGAAAGGTTGAGTAATTAAAATGATAATGATAAAATTTATTTGTGTGTATGAAAATATCCTAAAGTCATAGATCCTTCAGTTATAGAGGAACACAGGTACAATATAAACTAACAGAATAGCATTGAAAACTTGACATTAAATTAGAAACTTAGCCTTACCCTGTTGTGGATGATGCACACCAACACTCGCCAGTTCGATTTCTTCACCCTCAATTTGTCCTTGAAAAGAGAAAGTAGATAAAAAATGTACACAGACTAACCCTGTGCCCTCGTTTGAACTTTGTATGATATGTTAACTGACATCTGAAAAGTTTTTACCTCCCTCGCCCGCATGTTCTCCGTTTTCTTCCATTCCGTGCTGGTTAACTTGCTCTCCCTCTCCTTGGCCTTTAATTTTAAAATTAAAAAAAAAAAAAAGAGAACATAAAAAGAAGAGAGAAGACATAAAAAAATATTTTTAGTCACAGATTGCCCTTTATTTCCCTCGTTTATAGTTTTCACGGTCTTTCTAGAAATACGGGTAAGGATTTACCTCCCTCGCCGCCATGTTGTCCATTGTCTTCTGCTCCCGGTTGGTTCGGTTGTTCCCCATCTCCTTGGCCTTTTAAAGAAAACAACGAAGAAAAGTCAATGATCGAGTCAAGAAATATTTAGTTCGTACAACAAACGAATCGACCAATAAAAGAACGATGGACCGAACGAGCGAGTAAATGATTAAATGAATGCCTCTATGCATGCATGAGTGAATTGATTTATGACTGAGTGACCGAATGAACAAATCAATAGATCAATAAACTGTGTTTGCAGCAATCTGTTAGTTTACATCGTTTTTCGGTTTATTTCTTATCAGGAGCTGATAATTATATCGCACCTTCCTGATCCCGACCACAGCAGGTGAAAACGGTCTTCAAGTAGTTCCAGACTTTTTCCATTTTGTTCTTCAGAATGCCTCTGGCCTGGATACAAAATAATCGAGATTTCGCTCACTGTCTTAAGCTGAGCTCCGATGACAAAATAGAAACTGACGAATTTCTGTTGTCCAATGCTTTTGAAACATTGTCAGTGTCCATTGCAAGTGAACAAAGCAGCCTTGAGCAATATTATACACTGCCTATAGTCGGCTGAAAACCATTACCCTTCCTGTACCTAGCCATTGTAAGTCTACTTACGGATTTTATTATCTTGACTACTTATAATGGATTAAAAGCGCATAACGCACCTGTTCTGTTGACAAGGTGTACAGGATAGGATTCAAGGCCGAGTTGATCGGAAGGGCAAATACAGCGATCCAGACAGCGAGGTCTCCTCGCGCTTCGTAAGACTTCTCGATGATGGTCCTCATACCAATCACTATCACCGGCATCCAGCACACACAATCACTCAGGATGATGAAGAACACCCGCCTTGCAAGAGCCGTTTCCCTCCTAAAGTTTGCTCTTCTGGCCTGGATCTCTCTTTCAGTACCCTGACGGGCCAGTCGCCGGCTAGACAAGTAAGACTTGACTAGTATCATGAGATAAGCACCCATGATGAACAAGAAAAAAGCAAAATTCAAAGCGAGAAAGATAGCAACAGAATACTCCCAACCTGCCGGCTTATCAGAAGTAAGCTGCAAGGGTAGACATACCACACTTCTACCATAGTAACTATGGTACCTGAATGGGTCTTCAAAATACTGAATACCAAACATAGGCAAAAAGGCCATAAGGAAGCCAATTGCCCATATGATGATGCACAGGATATGTGTTGCTTTTGGTTTCAGAGAAGCACCTTGGTAAGGAAACACAATATTTTTAAGCCGATCAGCAGATATCAGTGTCATCATCATAACCGAAACCTCACTTGACAGAAGGGAGATCGCTCCAATTATTTGACAAGACAAACCAGACCTCCACTGGAAGTCATGCAAGTAATACTCTCCTCTCCACAACAGATCTTTAGTACCAAGAGAGATCAGGTAAATACCCATCAAACCATCGGACACTGCTAAGTGGAGCAACATGATGGACTGAACCACGTTCTTTTCTTTAAAGATCACTCGCCAAGTGACAACAAACACTGCACCAACCAGAGAAAATATTCCTATCACCCAGATACTCTTCCTTGGGGCAGAATTCTTAAACATGCTCTCACAGTTGGCAAAGTCGTCGTTGTACGTGAAAGCACAGTCAGCGTCCTCCTTGTGCATATGACAACACATCAGATTTGTGTCGAGACTCCTACAATTGTAAAATATCATCCACTGAAGTTATTTCATTAAAACTTCACAGTCGACAAGAACTTGCTTTTAAGAATATATCAGTAACTGATGGCTGGAGTTATCCATTGACTTATACAAAATATTTTTTTTAAGAATCCAAGTCTTCAATTCTTTTTGCAAAAACTTGAATTTCCCCAAAATGTTGTCTACTCAAAATGTATAGCTTTGCTCAAAAACTAATAATTTGCGAATGAATTTTATCAAAATCTTACACTCGTTGTATATCCTTCAACATATCGAAAAAACCATATGGAATCTCCCTCATCTTGTTATACTGCATATACCTGGAAATTAAATTAGGAGATTAAAATGTAGTGATCAAAAGCCGCAAAACTCCACAACAAAAATTAATCTATCAAATAAGCTCTCTTAATCCCACAATGTCAACGAAGTCTTTCATTTAACTAATTTATTCGTGTTTATTTCGTGATCAGGTTCCCTCTAATCGCGAAGCGTCTTTTCCTGTTTCTAAACCACCTACAACTTACAATTCCTCTATTCTTGTACGAAGGGCTAATGCTCAGGGGTCCGCTTTTGAGGCTATTCAGGGTGGCCAGTTTACATCTCCAACTCACTTGATAATAATTAAATATTGGATAAGATTGGTCATGATATTTTCATAATGCTGAAGTCTGAGTTATCTGCCGAAGCCGGAGGCTGAGGCATTTAAAGCAGACACAGGGTTTTGCAGGACGTTACACTGACGAGGGGGTTGGAAACTAGTCAGACTTTGAACTCCACATGATAACCCAATACCTGATGGATATATCGGTTATCATGTCAACTTCACACGCTTTGGTATATTGACTGTACGCTCTCAACCAATCAGAGTTTCGATGTAGAATGACACCAAATATCTTGAAATGCCCTGCGCCGACGCAGCACTAAAGTTTCTTTACAAACTTACTCCCACTCAGCAAATAATCAATCTGCTGTCAGGAAAGCATTTCCGGTGAGTTGCAGATAACGTAAGATGCTTTTACAATAAAAGCATCGATTTGAAGTGTTTTCATAATGTTTCAATTGTCAAATATTACACCTTAAGGTAACAAGGTCCGTTTCACAACTTGGTCATCACTTGATTAATTATAACACTCACAGAATTTTTAACTGTTTAATTTCTTTGAAGTTGTCGATGGAGACATGAGTCATTTCGTTTTCAACAATTTCTCTAACAAAAAGAACTTAATCAGTAACAGGGAAGGTAAAATATTTCAACATTGATGTGTAAATAATCATTTAAAGGTGAAATTAAATGCATTCAAATGTCATGATCGTTATAGGTTATTTCAAAGCTTATTACTCACTTGAAGAATTTCATAGTCTACTTACATAATCAAAAGCTCTTTTAAGCCTTTAAAAATTCCTTGTGGGAAGTATCTGAGTTTGTTCCCCGATAGATAGCTAGTGAAGAAAGGAAACAAATGAAATGAATGTTGGACATAATGGATTAAAGAACGGGGCATTAAAAATCGTTTTCATAGGAATCAAAGGGATCATGAGAATGCTCACTAAAGTTTTGCAATATTATTACGAGAAATTTTTGGAGAAAGATAATTGATGGGCTGGGAATCAGGAGATTTCTTTTAAGGCGTATCGTCAGGCATGAATTGCAAAATTTCCAAGGATGTATAACAAAATAAACTTGGTACTGAAAAGCCACTAGCGTGATGTATCGTTAGCATCAAGAAAAAGGTCCTGCATAGACCCTCATCATAACTTAAAATCAGAAATTCCAGGAAATGAAAGGATGTCTTAAAAACATGAAAAGGTGGATCGGAGTAGACATTATTCCGCTTGCAGTAATGAACAAATTCAGCAGTCAGGCCAAAATATGTTACCCGCACGATAATATATTTTTACTTTTGATAGATGCCTAGATTCAAAACTTGTGGAATACATAAATGTTAACGAACTACTCACAGGTCAAACAGCTTTACCAGTCCCCGAAACTGTTGAGGATGCAGCTCCTTTATCTCATTCTTTTCAATTTTTCTGTTGAATTACAAATCACGGATATGTTCTTGGCCAGTTTTCTTTTAATTTAAACGTTGAATGTTTTATCAGTGGTCAGTACTTAGAGTACCTTTTGAGTGAGTGTCCAAAAGCAAGAGCCGGAGTAATCACAATAACCAATCAAAGCAAAGGGAGGCTAAGGAACCAGTGTACATTAAAAGTACAAACAATTCAAGCACAAAGCCTCACGCCTTTATCCCAAAAATTCATCATTCCATCAATCGATCAATCGACTATTAATTAACAAGAGAGGATAATCCTCCTTTACAATTATTCAGTCATTCAAACCATCCATCACTACTCACATTGTCTCTATCTTGGTTAGGTTAGCAAATACCGTTGGCGGTAAATCTCTTAGTTGGTTGTTTGATAAAAGCCTGCAACAGTTAAACACACACTACCTTTAAATGCAAAGCAGAATTGGTTTCCCGTAGATAATGATGGCAACCGATAAGATCCAAATAACGATATGCTGACATATCTGTGTAATATAAATATGCGTGTTTTGCAATCATTCAGTGAGACACGTTTTAATGAACAGTTTTAATTAGATCAATTCGAAGGACATTTGAAGTGATAACATTTAATGAAAACTCGATTTCAAGTTCAAAACCTCTATTTTTGTGTATGTGCGTTGAAATTCAGACAGAAACGCGGAAAGTTTTGCCGCTCGACAAATTTTAGAGAGAAAATTTCTTTTCTCGTCGTGCTTTTAATTTTCTTTTATTTGTTTTTCTTGTTGATTTACAGTATTGTGAGATTTGCCAGACTGCTGAAGATTTCTTGAGGGAGATCCTCGACTTCATTATTAGACAGATCCCTGAAAGTTTCAAGGTAAAATGCATTAGTCTTTCAAAAAAAAAAATAACGCTATCCGAAATGTAAATCCAACAAAAAGTGAAACAGTGGGAAAACACTCTGAATTCTTTCGCTGCGTTTCACGGGCACTTGTAGCATGCTATGTTGCTGTAACATTATAATTATGATGAAATTGCACCAAGCTACTGTTGATAGTTTTCATGCTATTTACTCGAGTAACACCAACTGATGGGAGGGAAATGATGTAGAGTAGTGCAACCCAATACTAATGAGGAACGCCCACTGGTCAGTACCCGAGACCAGTGAATTTCGACGCTATGAGCTTTCGGTAAACCTGCCTTTTAATGATGTACAATCGTCTCAGGATTGCCATGTTGCAATTGATTGTGACATGGTCACTTGGCCTCTTTTATCATCTCTGATATAAGGAACAGAAAATTGATAAAGAGCCAACACTTTTATAAACACATTGTATTGTATTGACTAAACTCACAGGTCGTTCAATTCAGTCAAATCTTTGAAAACTTGTTTGTGCGGCGTTTCAATTCTGTTGTCTTGCAGCCATCTGAATAAAAGTTGGAATGATGCGACAATCCTTTTTATTTAGTTAAATTTGTAATCGCATCGTATAATTTGGGTGTGTTTCCAATGCTTATATTAGTATTACATAATACTGATCAACATCTTGACCTTTTTTTAAGTTGATTTTTGATAGCTTTCGATAATTTTGAAGCTGGCAACCTCGTTTTCCTATGGTGTTTCGTTTGTGCAACACTGCTGTTATTAATTGATTTAGTGTTTGGAACAACCACCTTGCGCATTAACTCGCTCATTCATCCAATAACAATGCATATAAATGCAAATGAGCCTTTCTGACCTTCGCCACAAGTTCACTATCAAAAGTGGAGCCAGGATGGCTTATTTGCATAGTTCAAATGAGTCAGAATCACGCCCGCCATTATGAAAGAAGCCTTCACCATAGCTTATGGCCATCTTTAGCGATACGTTTTCATGCTTTCCCTCCTTACTCAAAAACACATAATTCTCCACCTTCATTGCAGAGGTTCCGCTTGTTTTAAAAAATAATTTTAGCTACTATTTTTTTTTTGTATTGAAAGTTTCCTTTCCTAAACTCACAGGCGCGTCAATGCTGTTAAACCGTCAAACAAACCCTTCTGTATCTTTTCCAGGTTGTTGTTGTTGAGTTGTCTGTATGAGCAGAAGAGTTAAAAAAAGTGCTACAATTACTCTAATTTGAATTAGTTGAAATAAAATTATTTGAACCGATTGCCTGTCTAAAGCTTATAATTTAGGAATTAACAAGTACTCAGTGAACTCGAAAGTAGTTCTAGTTCAGTTCATTCGAATTCAATACCACCCTTGTTCAAATTTTACTGCATAACACATTTGGCTTGGCCTTCGGAGCACCTGATGGCTTATTGTCTCTCCTAAGATTTAGTCATTCATCTTTTCAATCAGTCACTGATTGTGGGCGTCTGCAATCGGTTTATATGCTACGCAGATATTTAGGGTTCAAGGATCTGCTTGATTAAAATGGAATATGCATTATCTGCATAAAAATGTGTGTTGTGCCACTTGTCAATAGTTGATATAGAGGACCACTTTCACTTACAGCCTCTGCAGCTTGACTGATTGGGAAAACAAATCGTCAGGGAACTTCTTGATCTTGTTACCTTCTAAAAACCTATGCGTGTTGAAAACTTTGTCTTACCATTAAATGGGGAGGTATTTAAATCCCGTTCTCTTTGACTGAGGCACTGGTCTAAGAAGGAACCAGCTTACGAGAACCAAGAACTCTTCCCTACATTTGCAAAAGGTTGCATAATGGCTACGCGCATTAAAATAAAACACGTTAATCAGAGGAAGGGGGGGGGTTAGAAATGGGATTTACATAACGAGGAGCACCAACAATGAAACTGAAAGGATTCTTTAATGAGTATATTTACTTTTGTTAACTCTGTCCTTCCACAAACAATCCCTTCTCATGGTTGACTTCGCCCTCTATAAGCACGAGCACTGTCTTACGAGTTAAATAGTTTTTTGTTTAATCTAATTTTTTTGTCTCATCTTAAGGTTTGACGCATAACCCTAGCAGGGAAAGGTTTCTCTCTCAATATGCTGTTGCAGGTTACTATTCTCTGATAGACTGAGCTAATTAAAAAGTTAGCTGCTTAGGAATGTATCAAAACGCGTAGTGTTAGATACTATCAATTACAATAAATAAGAATCGATGGTATCGAATATGGACCTATGATTGTGTTACTTACAGCATAGTCAACTCGGTGTTTTTATTGAAGACTCCTGGCGGTAGCTCCTCTATCTGGTTGGTACTCAAGCCCCTATAAGAAGATTTTTTCTGGATTTGAAATTAAAGTCTTTTGTCTGGTGATCTATTGCTGTTAAGCAATTTGATATATTCCTCTCTTGGATTTACATTTTCTATGTGCCGTTTCCTTGTCATAATCTTTACATGTTTAATAAAATAGTGATCTAAATAAGTGGATTAGCTTATCACATGATTTCGAGTGCAATTTGGGATAAATCAACACGAGTAAATGTTTCAAAGGCTAGCCAAATTGCACTAGCCTAGCCTGCACTAGGGTGAATGCCATTTAATGTCTTACAAAAATTTACGAGAATTTATGAATTATACGAAAAATCATTAATTTACTTGTTACTAATATACATGCAAAATTTGACTCCGTTTCCTCAAAGTCGTGTTTATTTCGTGTTAGGGCTTGGTGATTAATAATATATACAATTCATGTAGCAGTTATTGAACGCCTCTAAGTGCTTTAAAACATGATAGAGAGAAATATTTAACCTAATTTGTACATAAGAAACATTTTATACATCTCTACAGTTAAAAACTTAAAAACAAAAACTCTTGTTAATATAAAAAAAAAAAAAAATGGGAACCATTGAAGTTGGCAAAAAGCTGTCTTAAATAAATGGGTTTCCAGGTTCCGTTTAAATTTGTTCAAACATCTTGAAGGAGTAATGGTCCTTAAGGGCAAAGAGTACCTTAGAGACTAAGCAGCTGCTCGGCCGCTTGCCTTCACGTTGCTGCCGCCTTGTTCGGGGTGTTTCTCCAGGAAATTGCTTCGAACTTCTAAACTTGTGACACATCAAACGTTTGCTTACTTTCTCGGTTAGGTATCGCTTAATTGCGATAACCAGTACACAAAGGCTATCACACTCGTAATCTTCCGCCTACTTCTTATGCCGTCGCGATTTTTATTTTCAGGGCTTCGGTTTGTACTCTTCAATACTTTCGTTCCAGCCAATTTTTTTTTTGCTTCGTTGGGTGTTTTCATACTTTCACTCCCTCCACCACTTTTTTTTTCTTGTGCTACCGCGACTTACCTGTCAATCAATTCAATCCCAACTTTCTGCCATCAATCTCAACCAAAACTGCACGAACGGAATTTCAATTGCCACTTAATTGCAGCTTTTTTGGAATCACAGAATTCAGTCGCTCAAATACAGACTTTTCACATCTGACTCTGAAAAAATATCTCATTGATCCAGTAATGAGCTGGTTTATAAAAAGGTGCAAAAGTTGTCTTTCATTTTCTTGTTGCCAGAGTTGCCGAACTTTTGCCCCATG